GCCCTTTCTGGAACCCTCCGGGAGTCAACGAGGAAGCAACGAGTTCTTCTTCTCTGTGGGGTTTAGACTTCTCAGGTACACCCTTCCTGAATCTGGAGGTTCCATTTGCCTGTTACGGCTCACTTGAGTGGCACTTGTTGGGGGCATGGCAAAAAAAAAATGAGAAGCGCCATTTAAAAAAAAGAAAGATTCTGGAAAAACCTACATTTTCCGGGATCGCAGCTCTAAAGATTCCCCACCACCACCATTAGCTCGTCTGGCTGGAGGATTCTGGGAATTGTATTCGCAAAAGCCTCCGTGGCCCCACCCTCTCCGAAGCTCATCTGATTTCAGGTCATTCCCAGGACACCTGGGCAGCACCCCTGTGGCCCTCTGGGATGCAGCTGTTCCTGAGTGTTCAGGGGAACACACTAAGATGGGAAGGGGGATCTTGCAGAGAGGGATCTCGCATGTATGGAACCGTGCACGTTCTCCACATTATGTAAGCAGCAATGTTGTCTTTTCGAACCAAGGGGGCACCTTCTGGCCCTCAGGATGTTATTGGGTCACAGCTCCCATCAGCCCTAGCCAGCAGAGCCAGTGATTGGGCATGATAGGAACTGAAGACCGACAAGATGTGGAAAGTCACGTTCCTGCACTGGAACAAAACTTCTGCTGAATAAAGGACTTTGGCTTTTCCTCTGCAAGTTGAATTTCCATGGAAAATTGATTCCATGGTTGAGCCCTGCTTTCATTTTTCTCACCTCCTGGAGAAAGTAGGTCAAGTCATCGTTTTTCTCATCATTATCTCCGAGCCTAGGTCAGTGGTTTCCAACGTTAGGTCCCTAGATGTTCTAAAAGTCCCAGAAGCCTTCGCTACTGGCTGTGCTGGCCAGGATTTCTGGGAGTTGTAGTCCAATTGGATCACTATCCTAAGGGGTTCCATTGGAGTCCTCTGTGCAACCGGGGTGGGGGGCCAAACTGTAGTTCTAATACAGCTTCAACATCTCTTTTGTGGCCCCCAGATCCGTATGACTGCTTCATCCCATGCCACAAATTAGTTGTCTGCAGTTATATCAAAACATATTTCTTGTGCTAGCATGAAACATTTCTCTTGGAAACAATTGCATCACTATCCTAAGGTGTTCCATTGGAGTCCTCTGTGCAACCGGGGGTGGGGGGGGCCAAACTGTAGTTCTAATACAGCTTCAACATCTCTTTTGTGGCCCCACATCCGTATGACTGTTCCACCCCATGCCACAAATTAGTTGTCTGCAGTTACATCAAAACATATTTATTTCCTGTGCTAGCATGAAACATTTCTTTTGGAAAACTGCAGGAGCAGTGAACCACTTTTTAAACAGATTACAACCCCTCCCCAGTGTTTAATACAAAAAATGCCAATTTTTGAAGACTGGAAATGGACTTTTCATGCATCTGGCTTCATTTTAAATGTTGCCTAGTTCTGGTGGTCCATACAGCCCCTGGAAGATGCTGTAGGCAGAAAGTTGGCCCCTAGACCTGCTGAAACTGCATCCATGCTCCAGATAGCTGCAGGTGAAACTTCCTCAGATAGGATCTATTCTTAGATCTTCTCTTTATGTTCAGATTGTAGTGGTGGGGAGTACATTTAAACTTGCTTCTTAATTATCTGTTTTGCACAGGCCATGTTTTATCAACCATGTCATCTTTGGAGGCTGCTAACAGCAGTTGAAATGTTTTAATGGGCCAAAGATTTCACTTTTTCAAACACTGTGCTTTCTCTCTAGTATCCTAAAGCCCTGGGTATAATGGGAATTGATAGATGTTACCTGCAGTGTAATTGACAGACATATGAAGAAAACAGGAGGGGAGTGATCCTTGAAATTATGTCTGTCTGGAGTAATTTTCAGGGCTGGCACTTTCCCTGAAAAAAATTGTTTTGGAAAACAATCTTTATTGGTAAAAATGTGATACAAACAAATTTTACAGTGACCCTATGTGATGTTGTGGTTAAAGTATGGGGCCAGAACTTGGGAGACCAACGTTGTAGTCTCTAGTGATCTATAAAACATGGCTAATCATGCACGCGGTCACCCTACTTGACAGGGTTCCTTGCATCTCATCTTGAAAGGGAGAAAGGTGGTTGACTGACTTGTGCAGTAAAAGGCCGAAGTATAAGGCTCTTCATGAGGCGTAATCATGAGGTGGGAAACCTGTGGCGCTCTAGATGTTGCTGAACTTTAGTGACCACCATCGCAAAGTATCGGCCATGCTGGCTGGGGCTGAACTGAGTTGGAGTCCACCATCTATGGAGGACATTCATGGAACGTGGCTTGACCTCTGTGTGTACAGTGAACATCATTGTGCTCGGGGATGGAAGCTTGTGCCCCTGCCATGAGGGTGTTCATTCTGTATATGGAAGCCGACCCTTCTGGGTTAGTAGACACTACTTTCATAGTTGGAGTGATGTGTATGAAGGAGCTGATATTCATGGTGCCCCTCTTGCTTTGTGAACATCACAGCCCAGGAATTGTTTTGCAACGTGGTCTGCTGTTGTTGGTTCCTAGTACTTCTGAGTACAAACAAAGCAAAAGCAAAGCAAAGCGTGCTGCTTATATACCGCCCCATAGTGCTTCAAGCACTCTCTGGGCAATTTACAAGTTAATTATGCAGGCTACACATTGCCTCCCCCCCCCCAGCGAACTGGGTACTCATTTTGCCGACCTCGGAAGGATAGAAGGTTGAGTCAACGTTGAGCCGGCTACCTGGGATTGAACCCCAGGTCGTGAGCACAGTTTTGGCTGCAGTACAGAGGTTTAACCACTCACGTAAGGCTTACCCTCGTAAGTTATTCTGGTACCGTGTTTCAGTTCCCTTTCCCAGCCAGGATTCCTTCCACCTTGTCTAAGAATAACATGTGTAATGTGATTTTAGATGGTTTGGGTATTTAAGAAGTTTTTCCCCCCCATTAAATCTACCTTTCCCAGTAGCTCTTCAGAATGTTCCACTTCCATTTGGCACTTTATCTCATGACTGGGATTATTTGGTAATACTTTTTTAAAAATATTATATACAACATTCATTCAGTTTTGGCATGTGTTTAAAAAAACAAATCAGAAAGAAATCAAGTTTCTTCTTGTCACGCAAAGTACCTTTTCGTATAGTGTGAAGTAACTGCTTTTGTAAATTAGATAAACAAAATAAGCTGGACCAGAATATCCTGTGGGTATATGGAGTATTCTTTGTGGCCTTATTTTTCTTTGGCAACATCTGTTCTATAGCTACAAACATTCTTTGTGTATTTTGTAACCAAATATTCGATAGAAATAAGACAAGCTCTTGCTCATTCAGGTGAGAGCTTATGTATAGTCATTTAGAACTAAGACTGTCCCGTTAAACTACCTTATGAGTTTTAACTAATTGCCATTTTAATCAGTTAAGCATGAATGCAGTTGCCATCTTGAAAAAGTACCCGGTTCTCTGTGAGAAAAAAGAAATGTCCTGCTGTCTCATATGTTAGGCTTCCAGAAGGGTTGCAGTGTTAGCTGCTGTGTTGTCTGTGAAAAAGAGTATTGTGGAAACTAAAGAAATTTTTATTGGACTACCATCTGGGGTGGATTTGATTTAAATCAAATTTAAATTGTGACTTTAATTTTTATTTAAATCAAGTTGATTTAAATAATAAATAAAGTCACCGTTTAAATTTTAAAAATAGTTTTAATGATTTAAATATTTAAAAAACTTTAAATTTAAATCATGTTTTAAATCATAATTTAAATCAATTTGATTTTTAAAAAAATCATTGCTTATTTATCCAGCCTGCTGTCATCCACTTAATCAGATGTATCAAAGAATTATACTGTACGAATATATGTATGTGTGTGCTTCGGTCAACAGTAACACAGTGCAGAAAGCCCATACAGTATTGATATTTAAACTATTCAGGTGGCCCAAAATAACCCTGGCTGATCACTGAGTGATCCAGCCAACTAGCTTTTCTAAACATTTTAGGTCAGGTAAGGATCTGCTGGCTGATTGGCTGGGTGAAATCTTTTTAATTGTTCAGAAGGGCTTTGATTGATCCAACTAATTGATTGACTAAACATTGCAGTTCTGCTTAAAGCTTTTTAACCAGTTCCTTATTCTGGGCATGAATAAGGCTATATCCACTCATGGATATATCCACTGATGGAATAGGCTCCAGGAGTTAACCTAGAGGCAAAATCCGGAGCTGGAGTCCCGAAAGCAGTTCATTTCATTCTGCCAACTCCTGCGACGTTGCTGGAACCAGTTATGTTGGCTCTTGCCTTTCCATTGGACCATTTCAGCGATGTGGAGAGGGGGGATTTGCTGCTTGCGTAACAGCCTATCCTCCATATTACTTTGCCTAGGCTTTGTGCTCTGGAGAGGACACTCCTCGATTCAGAGCATGTTACCATAGTCTCTCGAGACTGAAGGATGCCTATGATGATATTCTGGGCAAGTGCCATTGTTGGCAACATGTTATTTATGGCTATTGAAGTTCCAGCTTCTATCACTTTAGTTTGTGAATGTGCCTTTTGCATGCTACACAAACTACTGACTTCCAGGCAGTGGATGTGTACAACTCTTTCTGAACCAGACAATACTGAGAGTTAATTAGACAGTCTGTTTATTGGGCTTTCATATGTGGCATTCAGATGCATTCTTGCAGCCTTCAAGGCCACCAGAGAGAGACCCCAATTAAAAAATTAAAATGGAGAAAGTAAAAGGCCTTGCTTTTGTAATTTGTAAATTGAGGGGCCTTGGGTATAAATCTTAGTCCTGTTCCAGATTTAAAAAAAACCAAACAAAAACATTTCCTTGCCATTTCTGATTCTGGTACTGCAAATTTGATCAGATTTAAATTAAATTGATTTAAATCATGATTTAAATTTTTTTTAAATGGAGTTTTGATTATTTAAATATTTTAAAAAATATATTTTAAAATATAAATCATTATTTAAATTCTTTTTTAAAAATCATTGGTTTTTATCCACTCTCTGTGTTGCCCAAACCTATGAAGTTCATTTGTGACATGTTGTGTTACGTTGTTTTGCTAAATTACATTTATGCCCTGCCTTTCCACTAGAAAACAGCAGTGAAGCTGGCTTACACATTTCATAAAAGAATTTTTAAAAAAGAAAAACCAAATTCAGCCATGTACTCAGAAAAATGGATGAAACCAACCTCAGTATAAAAACTACCATTGCTCACCCCTGATTTAAAATACTGTATGGGTTTATCTTATCTGGTGCTGAGAGACATGCCTTTCTCAATGAAACAGTCCCTGTTCCATTTTGTTGAAATTCTTTGGCTGGTTCCCAAAACATTATACCTGGGCATTTCCAGTACCAAAATTACAGTCCCAGTTGGAGAGCAGGCACTGGCATATTGTGCAGTCATGTGAATTGGGTAATCCATTTGATCTGAAGATGCTGCAGGAAAGAGTGGTAGCCAGGCTCCCAAGGCAATGTTGGAGCAAGGCCATAAAAACCTGTTCAGAATTGAAGGTGCTAATAACTGTTGCCTTTCTTGCAGAAGCCAAGAAATGTGCTTTGCATGGCTTTGTTTCAAAACCCACAAGTCAGTAGCTGCTCACAAGCAACTTGAGAATCTCTTCTACCATTTTGTTAATAGCTCATTGGTTTAGGTATCTGGTTGCTGAGCCAGAGGCTAGGAGTTCATGATCCATAGAGTCCCTTCCAGGGGCTGGACTTCATGATCCATAGAATCCCTTCCAGCGCTGTGGTTCTAAGATAATATACAGTGGGGTCTTGACTTACAAACGGCTTGACATACGAACGTTTCTACGTACAAACTGCTCTCATAGGAATATATGGACTCGACTTACGAACTTAGATTCGAGTTCCGAACTCTTTTTTCTCTTTTTTTAAAAGCTAAGTCATCTTAGGTTAGAAGGAAAAAAGAAAAATATCCCCCTCTAGTGGCAGAAGGCGGAATAGCAGCTTCCCATTAGTTTCTATGGACGAAAAGAGCAGATACGGATTAAATGGTTTTCAATGCATTCCTATGGTAAATGCAGATTCGACTTAAGAACTTTTCAACCTGAGAACTGCCTTCCAATATGGATTAAGTTCGTAAGTCGACCCCCCACTGTAATCTCATATTTATCCGCTAGCACCTATTGATAAACATTGTACTTCTATTTGTGTATAGAGCATCATGTCGGAGATGGCTGTTGCAGGAGAAGAATACCCAACAGAGATTCAGGATTACCTTTTGGCCTTTGAAAGATCTGTTGCATCGGTAGATGAGATGCTGAAGACTATGATGTCTGTATCTCGAAGTGAACTTCTTCAGAAGGTAAGAAGATGACCATGAAGGCAACTTCTTTTTTTACCTGTTTAACTTCATTTTTGATTGCTGCTTTTGGTAGGCTTGATCTGGAAGGTAGCTTATGAATATTTAAATTTAAAAAATAAATAGAAGATGGTGGAGGGCATCCCAGTGTTTTGAAACAGACTGTATCTTCCAGTGACATAAAATAAAATAAAAGGTAAGCACACGGCCTACATTTCTCAGATCTAAAGGTGAGTTCTAGAACAAACAAATCCCAGAGCGCTAAACTTAGTTGTTGAGCTGCTGTAGTATCTCTCAGCTGTTACAAAGGACAGTCTCAAGGATCATGAAAACCACCATCCTCCCATTCCCCCTTTGCAACAGCACAAGGCACTGCCTGAGGTCTTTGTACATGTATCTAGGCGCCATAGCATTTAAAATCCAATTTGTAATTTCTTTGGGGCAAAATAAAGAAAGCTCATAGATCAGGGAATTCCACCCCCCTGAAGCCTTCCAAACATGAATAAATTATGAACACAACCGTCTTGACAACTCAGCCCTTTGACAGGATCCATGTTCAATCTTGTAAGCGGTACACTCATGTATGAGTTTCCAGGAAATCCTGTAGGAACAAAATGATAGATTGGCTTTGACAGCCAAAAAAAGAAAAAAAGTTTCTGCCTTATTGTTGACAATGCGTGGCAGTGATCCAGAATGTACGCAAGATTGTAAAGAGAAGAAATTTAGTGAGTGCTCAGAGCTTTGATAGTTGCCTCTTAACCTCCACCGGCCTTATTAGACTGCTGCTGGTACTGGTGTCCTAGTTCCTTTTTTATTTTTTGGCTATAATTCCAGAATGTCCCAGCTGATTAGGAAATTCTGGGAGCTGCAATGCTAAAAAACAACAAAAACGAATAGGTTTTGCAATCTCTGATCTGTAAATTTTTAGAATATATATTTTAAATGCATTTTAATTTTTTTGTCTTTTTATTGTATTTTAAATGTTGTAAGCCGTCCAGAGACCTTTGGGTAGTGTGGGCAGCATATAAGTTAAATAAAATAAAATAAATAAACAAGTACACCTGCAACATACAAAAACTCATGTAGCACAATGGCTAGTGACTGGGAAGCCCTTTTTGAGTTTCCCCTCAATGAACTCACTCATTGCTCTTATGTGACCTCCCATCTGCAACATGGGATAAGTAAGCACAGGTTTAGAGCAGGTATCCCCAAAACTAGCTCTTTCAGCTCTCAGAAATCCTAGCTGAGGTGGCTACAGGTCAGAGATTCTGAGATATAACAATCAGATAACATCAGAGGACCCAACTCTGAGAACCAGTGCTTTACAGGATTATAGTAAAGCTGGGGTAGGAAACATGTGGTGCTCCAGATACTGTTGGCTAGAGCTGATAAGCTTTCCAGTCTCAACAGCATATGAATGAGCACATGTCCCTCTCTCCCCTTTGGTAAAGATTTCTATGAAATAGTATATGAGAAGTGTTTTGACGTTTGAAGGCATTTCTATAGATACCACATTATCTGAACTATTTTTAACCGTTTTGTCTGGTGTCTTTAAGGATCCATGTATTTCAAGGGATTTTGCCCCATATTTCTAAGATTATGTATTGGACAGAGGATACTTTAATAGGGCCTTGAGATGGAGAGACTTGGAAAAAATGGAGGAATTTCCAAAGCCATGTTTTGTTTTTTCCCCCAGAAAAACTGAAAAAAAGGAGTATGGGATATGTACTTTTTACAATGATAAATAATATGTCTGTGACATGGTATTCAAACTATATAACATGAAGACCTTAATGAAAGACTTCTGAAACTTTGTATGTTTAAGTTTCTGAGAGGGCCATTGTAATAGACGTCTCAAAATTGCTAAGTTCATCTCCTCATAAATATCAGACTGCATTAGCCTAACTTTATTTTGAGTTTCATTCATTTGAAGTTATTTGAAGAGGCTTCAAAGCTAGAAGCAAACAGATAATGTGCACCTATTTGGTTCTCTATTTTGCTTTTTGAATTCTGCAAGGTGTTGTTGTAAAATTGGTTTGAGATTGGGGTAGGAAAGCAACATTATTTCTCTCTTATGATCTTAATTGTCAGGTTAGCATAATAAAATTCACATGATGGTGTTTTTAACATTCCGGTTGTAGCTGGATCCTCTCGAGCAAGCAAAATTAGATCTGGTCTCTGCTTACACACTGAATTCCATGTTTTGGGGTGAGTATACGGGGGAAGATGTTTACGGTTGAAATTAGAATACTTCAGTCTATAACTGCATATATTGCTAGTATCTCATTTTCCAAAAATTCCCTCATTTTGCAGTATACCTGGCCACACAAGGAATTAACCCAAAGGAGCATCCCGTGAAACAGGAATTGGTAAGATTCTTATTGAAGAAACAGTGTAAAATTACCTCTTGCTGAGACAAGTGCTTTCAGAATATTAAATCTGGACTTAAAACATAATTGTGGTGTCATGAAAGGATTATTAATCATTACCTTTGATCTCCCCCCCCCCAATAGCAGTCTTGTGATATAACATAATATTGCAGGGCAATCTTTTCCTAATGGATGGGTCTTTTTAATGTCCAGTGAAAGGGTAATTATTATAAGGAGTACCATCAGGCCGTATATTATCTAATTTTCAATCTGTCAGCTTGTCCAGACTGACCAGGAAGGCAGCAAAAGTATCCCTTAGGGCAACAGGTCTCCAGTTCTGTTAGTCTTCGAATTCAGAAAGCAGAGTGGCACTAAACGTTTTTTTACCTGGATGTATTTGTCAAAATGAGGGAACAATGAAATTGGATGGATTGTGGCAGTAGGATAAAATGAGTGAGTGTCTGGGCAATTAAGCAGTTGAGCTTTAAGTATGTCTCTTGAGTTCATGGTGAAGGGATGTATGAGATGTTGCGCTAATCATGTGGTAACAACATGCAAATGTATCTGAAGAAGCTTTATCCCAGAGGCAGACGGTCCCAACGTGCTTGCTACATACCATGTTTCCCTGAAAATAAGACAGGGTCTTATATTAATTTTTGCTCCAAAAAAAACACATTAGGACTTATTTTCAGGGGATGTTTTATTTTTTTTCATGTACAACAATCTAAATTTATTCAAATACAGTCATGTCATCTTCTTCTGGTTGCTGAACAATGGTAGAGGGCGGGGTTTCACTTAACTGGGCCTTATATTATGAGCATCCTGAAAAATCATACTAGGGCTTATTTTCAGGTTAGGTCTCATTTTCGGGGAAACAGGGTAGCTTATTACAGAACTGCTGTATTGTGTCTATGTGGAAGCAGTTGCTCGGTCTGAGATCGTGGTAAATGCTTATGTTTTATGTGGGCGTATGTTTATGTGAACGTGGAAATTTTCCCCCGTGGAATCTATTTATCTGGTGCATCATACAAACTGGCTAGCGACACTGTCTATGAGCATAAGTTCATTCCAGGTTTCACCCACTTTTCCAAGCAGGCCAAGAGCCAGGTGTGCTGTAGGACAAACTGTTCTCTTTGGGTTGTAGCCAAGGGTGGTGACCGCTTTTCTTTTTAGTGGAAAGTGCTTGCACACATTGAGGTGCCTGACTCTTGCTGGAGTCCTCCCTGTGTGCCTGCTACAGCCTTTCATACCATTGTTGTGGAGGGGCCCCCCAACCTTCAAGATTTGCTTTCCTGGGGGGGGGACATATGGGGTGATTTAATGGGTAGGGGAAATCAGACCTGTTTGCATGAGTGCAAGTGGTTTCCATTAAAACAAATCTGTCAATGGATGGAGCCTACTGTTCTTTTGATTTGTTTGCCCTCTTAAGCTGGGAAAAAATTCCAGTGTGTATTTTTGCTCAAAACAATATTGCCTGTTTCATAAGGCAGGTCTCAATCACTCTGAAATCCTGAAAGTGTTGCAAGTTAAAGCAAAACTATCCTTTCTGGTTTTGAGACTTGAGTTTTGTGTCAACCAGCTTTTCACCTACGGAATGGAAAAATGTTACATGTCTAATAATTATTTATAACTTCCAGTATGGTGTGTTTTCCTATAAATACTTGGACTTGTGTTAATCTCTGAGGCTACCTTTTCTTATTCCTGTATCACTTAGACGTATCGTGCGGTTGATTTACTAGCAAAGACGGGAAAGATCCCCCTCCTCTTTTCCAATCCTTCCATTAATTCATTTTCTCAGCAGTAAAGAATCCAGTTCGGCAACAAAGCTAAAAGCTTTTTTGGCACCAGTTAGATGTGTACTGTCCAGTAATTCTGCATTAGTGACATATTTACTGCCTGCAGTAAATCTTTTTGGTTTGTCTTTATAATCCATTTAGATACATGAGTATAGTATATAAGACTGAGTATCTTGGAAATTCTGCTGACTTCAAGAATCATATCAAATGATTTAGCTTGGAGAATTTTTTTTTTTAAAAAAAGCTTACAAACATGGAGCTGTCTCTCAGAATTGCTACATTATATGCATTATACACATATGCAATATTGTTAATACAATAAAAAGTATGTAATTATAAATGCAGTTGTGGAAAGAACCTTCCTGAAGAATGAGAGGAATGTGAACATATTTGGGCATTTCCTGGGCAATGACAGTCCCCTGTCGGCAGCTCCTTCCACTCCAAAAACTGGATTGTTTTTGACACAAACAAAGATAAAGAGGAATGTGGATAGCAGGCAAAACTGACTTTGAAGTAGTGATACCTGTTATGTAGGGAGACGTAGCTTCATTTCTATCCATATTTTCCTGTTGGATTTATAATGCATTTTTATTGAAAAGAAACCCTGCATCCATTTTTTTTGCTTCTTGCCAAGCTGTATTTGTATAAACAGTGTGTCATATTAGCCTGCAGTAAATAAAGTTAGTGTTAAAAAGCACAGACAGCCTGTATATTGTTGATGGTTGAATTCTCTAAGGAAAGTGGGATCACTGTTCAGTTCTTCTTGTTACTTGATGACATGATAAAGTGAGCAGTGGGTGGTGGGAAAGGATGTTATTTCCTTCTGAAGGGTGATGGGATGTCCTTACCTTGAGTATGGCAGATCAATCATTAGCTGTTGTTCTCTTGCCCTTTTGAGTTCCCACATGTTTGAAAGGATTATACATGATGTGTTCAATGGAACAATTCATTCAGGCTATGAGAATTTGTTTTGTATTTTATCAGCTCCTTTTACCTTCATAGTCCTGGTTGGCACATAACACTAAACCATGATTTATACTCTGGGGATGAGCCCTCATGAAATCCGAGGCGTGTGCTTTCCCTGCTATGAGTCCGGTGAAACCACAAGGGAGACAGAACCAGGATTCCATGTCAATCATTCCTAGCTTGTCCCTGACAAAGGAACTAGGGATTGTTGTTTTAGCTGATTTTCTTTGAATAAGCCGGATTAGCAGCCCCATGATTTTAAATTAGCTTAAAAAGCAAGCAGACACATAGCTTCTGTTTTGTACAGTAAATACTGGAAATCCTGTAAAAACTGAGGCTGGAGTCTTAAATCTTCTTTCCAGCCATGCAGAAATTGGAAAGAGGGCTGCATGTGATGAACTCTTGGTTTTACTATAAGGAGTGCATATGGCCCCAGACTTAGGACTTGCCTTTTCCTGATTAGTGGTTTCATGAATTGCAAGAGACATCATGCAGGATTGTATGATATTATACTTTATGTTCTGAATCAAAGAACGTTAATTTGCATTATTGTGGTCAAGAGCTCTGTAGGTACAGTTTGGAGAAGGTTATTTGGAAGATCTATGCTAGCTTAAGAGATTTTGACTGCCTGAAGTAGAATCTGAATGGGGCTTACCCTACTTTCCCACATGGCTTGCCACTGCCAACACCTTCAGCTGGTTTACTAGACCACTGACACCAATTCCCACCTGTTCCCCTTCCTAATGATGACCAAGCCACAGAATGCTGCCCAGACAATTTAGTGGAAACTGGAGGTGGCAAGCAGTACCTAAAAATATATTCCCTACTATGTGTTGGAGAATGGGAAATGAAATTTTTCTGCGCCTTTATCATAGCGTGAAGTACCTTGGGTTCTAATGAAAGAAAAGTTCCTGTTCTCTTCCCTCACCTCAGTCTTTCCAAAAAAGCTTTTGAAGGATTCTTTATGACCAGTGTCCTATGGGGTAGGGGTAGCTCTTGAGAGAGGCAGAAAAATGCCCCAAATTGGACAGAGTGTGGCCTTGTTTACATACAGTGTGGTCTGTTTGCATTGTGTGTGCACACATAGACTAACGTGGGTTGTGGATAGCACCTTGAACAAGACAGAACTTGATAGCCTAATGCTCTTGGGAGACTAAATCTTTGGGCTCTGTCATGTGAAGTAGGAGCTAAGGCAGTTGGAATATTCCTCCAAGCTTTCTGGGGATGAGCCCTCATGAAACCATATGCTCCTGCTGCCACAAAAAGAAGAAGCTGGCACACAGCAGACATACATGGTAGGAGCCACGCTAGCGTACAGGAAGCTACCTTAACAGAACAACACGTTCCTTCATTCTAACAAAATGAATGTGAAATTCATCTTGTCAGGATGTGTGTGTTTTTAAAGTGGAAAAAAAATCTTCCTTTGGATTTTGCAAATGGACCTCTCCCCAACAATGTTGGGGTTAGTGGCTCTAGACCCCCGTGAAGTTCAAAATCCATGTATAACTCTTATGCACTCCCCAAAACCTAACTACAAAGTGCAAACAGTTGAGTCACACATCCCTCCTGACCTGTGTCTGCCGCCTTGCATGACCCAGTACTGCCCCCTGCTGCCATGACAGGAGAGGGGGGCCAGCTGGACTGCTGTCCTCAGACTGTGGGCCACTGTACTTCGAGCAACAGGGGCCCTAGGTAAACCCAAGACCCACCTTTCTCGGCCCACTTCCTGAAGATGAATAGCAGCATATAATTAATTAATTGGAAAAACCCATATATAACCCATATATAACCAAAACCATATAACCATATAACCAAAACCATGCCGTTCAGATCCCATGAAATTCAAGGGGGAAATATAGCTGCCCCTTGTAAGTGAGATGTACTAGGCGGCAAACTCTTTCAGTTGGTTTTATCTAGCAGTTCTTTAATGAAGGTATGCAATGAAAACTGCCTTCGGACAAGCGCTGGCTCTATGGCTTGAAAAACTGGATGAGCACCACCCCCTAGAGTCGGACACGACTGGACTAAATATGTCAAGGGGAACCTTTACCTTTATGCACTTCCACTAATTAGGCAAAATCTCCAGTGGAAACTAATGTAGATGTGCCTTTAATGTTGTTGTTTTTTAGTCGTTAAGTGGTGTCCAACTCATTGTGACTCCATAGACCAGCGCACACTAGGCCCTCCTGTCTTCCACTGCCTCTCAGAGTTGGGTCAAATTCATGTTGGTCGCTTCGATGACACTGTCCATCCATCTCATCCTCTGTCGTTTCCTTCTCCTCTTGCCTTCATTCTTTCCCAACATCAGGGTCTTTTACAGGGAAAATCTTATTACTTACCTTGAATTTACAGTTATTACTTATCTTGAATTGAATTTATATTTATTATTATTAATTTGTATACCGCCCATCTGGCTACTCAGGCCACTCTGGGTGGCTCACAAAAAAAAGAATAGAACAATAATCAGCAATAATAAAGTAACATCAAAATGATATAGAAGATCAAACATACACTAAACGTTATCAATTAGAAACAATATAACATGAAATAACATATAAGAAAAGCAGTTAAGATGGCGGAATCACTCACTTAGGGGTTGGTAAGCACTCTGTGTTCTGTCAATGGAATCTTCTCAAAGGCCTGTCTCAATAATCAGGTTTTCAACAATCTCTTATACCCTGCCATTTCCCCCAAAAGGTGTTCACCTAGTTCTAACATTTGTGCTTCAGATCACGACAGGTGCAGGATTAGTTGAATAACCTAGGAACCTACTCAGAAGCCGCTCCTCTTTCTTTTTCCTTTGGAGGATGACATATTTATTGGAATGTAGGAGTGGTTATCTTCCAAATGCACTGAGGGAGCACTCAAGAGAACTCACTAAAAACGGTATATCCACTAAAAGTTAGTAGCACTAAGAAAAGACATGAATTTTGTAGGCATTCGTTTGGTTTGATTGATATTTATATCTAAAAGCCTCTTATTTATTCTGAAGTATCGAATCGGTGTTATTTTCTGTCAGAGACATTGATTACTTTTATCGATGAGAGCTTTCGACTGAGTTTTTCTAGGACAGTGGCTCTTAACATCTGGTCTTCCAGATGTTTGAAATGTTGACTCTTAGAAGCATGGCCAGTGTTTAGGGATTCCAAACACTGGAAGTCCAAAACATCCACAGGTTGAGAATACAGTTCTGGAATATATCCGTGAAGATTCTCAGTCTTCCAGGTGAGGTTATCTGAAAGCTGAGTCATGGCAATTCTTATTAGGTTGAAACGTCTCACTACTCATCCAGGACTGAAGAAGCTACTTTGATGAGTGCTGAAACGTTTCGGCCTAATAAGAAAGAAGTCCAGTTGCCATGACTCAACATCCAGACAGTTCTGGAATGTGTAAGCAAGTACAGTGTGCCCTTTTGCTGCTTTACATCACAATTCCTAGACCTTTTTGTCCTGTGGGACGAAGTGCTCTTTTTAAACAGATACTTAGATTGCTCTATTTCTGTATCTTTCAGGAAAGAATACGAACCTACATGAACAGAGTGAAAGAGATAGCAGACAGGAAGAAAGCTGCCAAATTGGATAAGGGTGCTGCTTCGAGATTTGTACGAAGTGCTCTGTATGAACCTAAAGCTCAGCACAAGTCCACAAAGAAGACTCCCGGCCTTGCCAAAAAGAAGAAACATCAGTAGGACTTTTTAGTTCTGTGGCCATTGGTAGAGACAGTTTTTTTTTATCAAGTTCTCTTTTTTAAAATATATGTTTGTGTATATATGTAAAAATGCCTGAGATTGAATGAGCCTGTATCAAATGACCATTTGTTATGACATGATCTCCTACCTCCATATATTCCGGTCCTTGTGTTCTTTGCAATAGAAACTGCATAGCTTTGAGGAAACTTTTTTGGAAAATATCTTAATTCCTGGTAAAGTAATATGTAATTATTTTTAAAAAAATAAGGTTTTACTTTTGTAATGAACAGAAATAAGGCTAATCAAGGGCTTTTCAACTCACTCACACTTGTGTTTGGTTTTTTTGCCTTTTTATGAAGTAAAAGATATTTATGTGTTAGCTGAGTTTCTGTCTGCCTTGGGTTACATCATGCTGATTTCTCCATCCTCAATCTGCAAAACATGGGTGCAGGTCTGCCAAAGAGCAAATGCCGCCACCTGGGCAAGTTTGCAGATGACATTGCCAGTGCTCAAAACAAACTCATCAGTTTGAGGCACACAATGTTTCTGTGTGGTTCTTCCAAGGTAACCAACTTAGTTCCAGAAGAGTATGAAGAGCTACTTTAGTAAGTATCCCCCAGAGTGAGTTACCTTCAGTAAAAGAGTTTCATTTGTTACCTGTTATGCTGATGCTCAAATTCAGAGTGGGCAAAGGTTGGTCCCTTTGTTGGATTGCTTCTCTCGTCATCAATTGCAGCACAACCAAGGATGAGAGATTGTGATAGGGAGTTTCAGTCTTGTGACATGTGGAACTCTGCACTTTGTCTACTTTTGCTCTTTGTTGTGCTGCTTGTGTTTGTATTCAGTACTCTTACTGAATAGTTTACCACACTCCCCTGTTTTTCCCTTCAAGTGAGGGATTGCCAGATAGTTTCTTAGGCCAGTGGTTCCCAACCTTGGGTAAACCAGGTGTTCTTGGAGCGCAGTTCCCAGAAGCCTTTACCACCAGCTGTGCTGGCCGGGGTTTCTGGAAGCTGCTGTCAAAGAACATCTGGGTTACCCAGGATTGGGAACCATTGTCTTAGATCATCAGACACATCTTTAAAGAAAGAATACCTGGGTTACCCAGGATTGGGAACCACTGTCTTAGATCATCAGACCCATCTTTAAAGGTAAAGGTTCCCCTTGACAATTTTTGTCCAGTCGTGTTCGACCCTAGGGGGCGGTGCTCATCCCCATTTCCAAGCCATAGAGCCGCCGTTTGTCCGAAGACAACCTTCCGTGGTCACATGGCCAGTGCGACTTAGACACGGAACGCTGTTACCTTCCCTGTTACCAAGGTGGTACCTATTTACTCACATTTGCATGCTTTTGAACCGCCAAGTTGGCGGGAGCTGGGACAAAGTGACAGGAGCTCACTCCATCGCGTGGATTCGATCTTACAGCTGCAGATCTATAGACCTTACAGCACAGAGGCTTCTGCGGTTTAACCCGCAGCGCCACCACGTCCCTATTCAGACACATCTTTACTGATTGCTATTTCCACAACCCCCCTCAGCTGACATCTAACATGGTATTGCATAATAGATGACACTACAACGTAATGCTCTTAAAATAATCACACGTTGATGCTTTCCTTTTAACTTTGGGTGATTCTGCGATGATAACTTTCAGAAAATACTATGCTCAGCATGGCTAGAAGTCTGTATTTCTGAAGGAAATGGGCAAGGGGGCAAATGAGTTAGTGGAGACACCTGTGAGGCTTCCACATGCCCCGGTTTCACTGTCCTGTGGTACAAGAATAAGCAGTGTTTATTTTGTGAAGCAGACAACAACATTGTACACCACTGTGACCTAAAGTCAGGTCTTTTAAACTGAGATATTTTGGGGGGGTGGGCAAGGGGATTGTACACAAATAGGTACACACATGGTAAGGGCTACCAAGAGATTGGCTAGCAGGGGCACTGAATTTCTGATCATGAACACTCTGTGGCTCTTCACGTAGGCTTTTTTCCCCTGCTTCTGAGATTTCACTAGTTCAAACATTTTGGAGCCTCTGCTTTTACAGCAATAAAGACTAGGAGGTTATATTGGAAAAAGAGCATAACACCAACAATAAAACCAGTCCTGAGATCGTCTCATGCTGGTCAGAGTCTTGTGTAGGGAGACAAGTTTTCCTGTACATCCTTGCCAAACCCTGTCCTGGCGTGGCCCACTTCAAGCACTTGCCTCGCCTTGTTAATTTGAAGTTTGACTCATTGGAGACGTTGGCTAGGTGAGCAGAAAGTGCCAGCTTGGACTGACTTCCACTTGCTGTTATGAATGATAATCGCCAGGGGGTCTTAGCAGTGTGGATTCAAGCCCTCTGGCTGCCGCGTGGTTTCACACTCAATTTGCATTGGGGCTCATTAATGTCCTAAGTGTGGTTCTCTTTCAATGTTGATTTTTAAATCAGGACATGTTAGATTTCCTCTGTTCCACTTCATTGAGAGTGATTGCTCCCATGGCCCTTCTGCAAATTTACTTCCTAATGTGGCTGCATCTCATCCAAACTGTTTGGTTAGAATGAGACGCTGTCGCCAGTTCCTGCAGCTGAATAATTGAGCGCTGATTTAATGCTCTTACATGGCAGAAATGTTTTTTTTAAAAAATCTGATATTGTGGTCAAAAAGAAAAAAATTTTTTAAGGAAAATAGTAAATGTGTGATAATGATTTCACTTCAGAGTATTTAAATATATAATTAAAGGGTTATTTAATAGGGGCCATGTGGACCCCTGGGGGTGGCCCTGGCACATTTGAAGGGGGTCTCAGACTGGAAGCAGTTCTTCACACACCACCTTATAAGGTTCATTATGTAACTTGTACAATCCAGAGCCAGCCTACATTTCTTTCATATTGTGTCTATGGCCATAGCCAACAAAAAGTTGAGAATGGCTGATTTGAGCATAGAGGTGTGACAGTACTTGAGGATCTGGAAAGGGCCCATTGTTTCTGTGGAGGCTTGTAGGTTTCTAATATCCTACTTTAGCTCCTTTCTCCAAAATGTAGAAGTTTAAGGTTGATTATATCCCACTTTCTCCAAGATAATCTACCCAATGTAGTTTACAAGGAACAGGAACTTACCAAAACACACAGCATGTGTAATCACAATTTGTTACAAAACAGATTGATAAAGTCAGATACGATAAAGTCAATAACTCATGATACATAGACTAAATGTGCTAGGACCATGAAAGAATCTACAGTTTTGATAAAAACGATAAAATACAAACATGTTTTGTTGAATCTGGGCTTATTCTGTACTGGTTTTGTATTGTCTAGATTCTGGACCATGCATAACAAGTACAGAACAAGATGAAATTTAAGCAAACTGGATTTGTGTATTGGTTTTTCTCTGAATTTTAGTTTCATGGTCATGGTGGGTCTAATTCATTTAGTGCCCATGTGCACGTTCACACACAACATGCACAAGGTTAAGTCTCCAGGGACTTTGAATAAACAAACTACAGAATGGCAAAATGCCTGAGGCGTTGCACTGTTACAAAAGCAAGTGTGTACGGTTAAATAGGAATTTTTAAATCATGTTTAGATCATTTGTCTGCCCCCTCCCAAAACTTCACAATGGCTTGTATGTGTGGTGTTTTCCAGTGAGAGTTTGAGGCAGCAAGATTGGGCTTCGTCTTGCACAGCCTTAACACTTAAGCCATTAGTCTTCCCTGATGAACCTTGTCTGGCTCGAGGAACAACACCTGCATAAATGCCTTGCGGTGTCAGACGCTAGCAGTCTTTTGTTTACAGTGACTAAAACTGAACACATCTCCCCCAAAAAAACAATATTGAGAACTGTCAACATATAACTCTTCTTCCAATCATGCTTTTTCTTGGTCCAACATGCTCACTTCCCAAGCCTCTCGTCATAGTAGTTGACATACACTTTGTCAGTGTTCTTTTTTCTCCCTTTTCCTGAATTTTGTCCGCGATCATTTTTCTGGCCCGCAGGTATATTTCACCTGGCCGTCACCAATCTGACATTCCCCAGATGTGTTGGAAGACAGATTTGTTTGCCATGCTAGCTGGGGTCGGTGGGTGTTGTACTTCAGAATCCCTGGAGGAGGTCAGATTCAATAAGGCTGGTTTAGTGATGGTTTAAGACTTCTCTAGACATCAAAAGTGCTGAATCTCTGGCTATCTCAACCACTCAGGCCAGGAACAGGCATTAAAAACAGCCCATAATGTGTTCTGAAAGCACACTGATGTCATAAAGAAGTAACGGGGGCAAATTTACCAGGTTTGTAAAATCAGACTTCAAAGAAATCCCCTGTTTCAATCCAATCACTAAACAAGGTCACTTGCATAATCCTGGAGGTTGGCAAATCTCTTGCGGAGACACTTGAGTGCTCACATTACTTAAAACTTCCCCTTTTCCAGTGATGGGGCTACCTGTAATGTCTGTTTCTGGTTATATTGGAAAGGAAATGAGTGCTCTGCTAGGATGTATTTACTAACAGGTTGTAATTATCCTTGTAGATACTGAAGATACAGTATTTAAGAAAGGTCCTATAAAGGAGCAGGCACTTCAGGTGCTAAACTGGGGGTAACATTTTGCATTTATTCTGGGGAAGCAGAGGATTTACCTGCATTTTTAAAAACTGTCCATGAAGTCACTTCTGACTTATGGTGATATTTTTCAGAGTTTTCCAGGTAGAGAGTACTCAGAAGTGGTTTACTATACCCTTCTGGAGGCAGGTTAGCTTTTCTGGGGAACTCAGCTCTCAACCTCTGGCTCCACAACCAGATACCAAACTCACGGAGCTGTCCAGCCACTGCTGCATGCTTATCTGAACGGTTATATACATTTTCTGCATCAACAATGCCTAGAGAGTGCTAAGAGCCCTTCAAGAATGATAAATGAGAGCAAGACCGAACCTGCTGCCTGAAGCTCTGTGGGTTACAGTTTCTGGCCCACAGAAGAGTCTGCACATATGCTTTTCAAATATATGATTTAAAATGGAAGGGTACAGATCATTGGTTGACAACCTTCACGTGTTTGGAGGAAATGTTGAAAATGGCAGTTAGGGACCGTGTATGGGTGCAGCCAGCAGGGGGGATGTAGTACCAGTCCTCCCAGGAAAAAAAAAAAACAATATATTCTATCTATATAGAGTAATTTAGCTATATAGTCTCACTGGGTAAAGAAACACATTGATTTCTGTTTTTACTCTTCACATTTTGTTTGCAGCTGCCTTTGATTTTTCTGTGGACCATTACAGGCATGGAGTCAGAACCCCGTTAGGTACGCTGATGAGCACCCTGGTAAATGCTTAGACAGGAAGCAACAAAG